CAGAAAACAAAAAAAAAAAAAAACTTTATTATTATTATTATTTTTTTGCACGCCCGGGTACCCCGGGCATTATGCCCGGGTGCCCGGCCGGGCAGGACCAGCCGGGCGTGAGAATCTTCCTAGGCAAATTAGTAATAACAGCAGTGTGCACAGTGAACAACCTAACAACAAGACCAGTAGTAACAAATAACTGTGTACACAATGGTAGGAACAAGGAATAGGTTGCGCTTGTAGAGAACGTCCATGCCTAGTGCCTGAAGTACCCATGCAACGGGGCTCATACGACTATGCTTCGATTAGGGCTGAGTAGGGTAAGTGGGACTCTCCTTAGCCCTGGTACCTGCAACTGCCGTCTGGTCAAGGTCGCCCCTGAGTGGGTGAGAGTCCTGAGTGGTAGACACTGCGGTAGGATCGTAGAAGTAGGGGTGCACAAACGCGTTGACGCTTAGCGCTGACCTGCGCTACGGACCGGCTGGCGCGGCTCAGCCATACTCCGTGGACTGGGACAGTAGCTGTTCTTGGTCACTGTGGTGTCCGCCTGGTCATCTGCTCAGGCGATGGTGGATACTCCGCCACGTACACCAGGAGACGGTACGTTAGCGTGAGGCGTCTGTTTTGTAAGACTTGACGGCCCGTTTTGTTGGACGGCATGGACGACATGGATTCTAACGTCGAGTTACGGCGAGGAGCGGCTGAGTGGTTGCAGATTATTGAAGATGGCGGTCGGCATCTGCAAGAGGTCGTGGATACTCTGTGTTCGAGCCAAGGGGGTCAGTTAGGGGCTGTAGGGGGGACGGTCTCACTGCCGCTATGGCTGGAGGACATGATGCAGGCCATGCTTGATATCATTCGGGAGATGGAGGAGGGACCAGCTCCTTCACTCAACGAGTTTGTGGATTGGCATCAAGCTGACCTGCTCATGCATAGATGCTATGACATCTTTAGGAGAGGGCAGGATCGCTGCGCAGTTCTGGAGGAAGGACTGATGGGCTGCTCCAACGAACTAACGCCGACATCATCAATGAAAACAAATGAAGAAATCGGTGGCAACAACAGTCTCAACATCAACAATGAGAGCAACGACAATGACAACGACGACATCATCAACAGTGGCGGCGGAGGTAACAACACCAACGACAACGCCGACAAAAACAACAACATCAACATCAACGACAACGACAACGACAACAACAACGACAACCAGTTCGAAGTTGTCAACTACAGCTTTCGTGTGCTCGTAAGTGATGACTGCGGAGATAAAATCGGTAAGAATGGGATTGACGACAATACCGGTGCTATTAGGATCAGCGTCGCTGACAACGATAGCACTAATAACATTCATACTAATAACAGCCATGGTTATGGCGATGAGGTCAACGATGATAGGGAGATTGTTCATGAGTGCAGTGGGGCGTTCAGCGCTGATGTTTGGCGGAGGATGGGCGTGGGCTAGTCGGGGGTGCGTGGGGTTGCCTGATCACCCGCAATTCCGATCAGAAAGGGGTGGTGGTGGTCCCTCTCACGGTAGGGGGATTGGTTAGGGTTTCCATGGTCTTTCTGGTTTGGGTCAAATGAATACTATATCGGGTAGGATGATCGTTTTCCCGTCTGCTTGATAAGGATGCGTGTTACTAGGGTCGGGGCGCTGGGATACGATCTGGGTTCCTGTTCCTGTTATGATTCCCCCCCACCCGTGTGTTGTTGAATAGCTTATGCTTCTGCGGATGGGTGGAGCAGGATGGGTAACGAAGGTATGAGCAGTCAATCCCCTCCTAGGAGCCTCCTAGGAGGGCAATCAATGCTGCTTATCATCACATTTCCTATCACGCACATACACTATAGATCTTCACAAACTTTTGCTTGATTGTATAATTGGATTCTTATACACATCTAGATGTGTATAAGAGACAGGGTAGACACTGAGGTAGGATCATAAAAAAAGTAGGGGTGCACGGGGAGAAATTATGAGAGCGGAAGGTTGGGAGGGAGTCTCAGGGGGTCTCTATCGAGTGTCTGATAAACCACATGGCCGGGTGCCAAAGGTAACTGTGATATGTCCAGAACCCACCACTACAACAACCTGGGTTTTCAAAAAAAACGAAAACAAACTCAACTATAGGGCCGACTATACCCCATGGTTCATATATATTAACTCTTACGCTTACAAGCAGAGGAAGTCTGTTGGTAAGGTTTTAGCAGGCCATGGTTTCTCTTTCTTTGGCTATGGTTCTGTTTGAAAAGTGATAGATGTAGGCTACTTGGCAATGGTGCTAAATAATAGTATTAAATTACTATTAATATAGTGACGTTTTTTTTTACATAACAGCCTAGTTAGTGAGTTCCAAGTACTTAGGTTGTTCTAAGATTGGTAGATATTCTTTGTTCTTAGTAGAACTTAATGTTTGAATTTCTCTATGATCTCCATGGTGCTCGGGTCCCGTTGGGTCCTGTAAAAAGCAAAACTGGGTAAGGCACCCGGAGAAGTTTTTGATTTCTATCTGGGTTGACTGTGAGGACCCTGGCCTCAAATGCTTTGTTGTGGTAATATGAAAAAGAGACTTAAACCACTAGTACCTTTCCCGCATGGGAAAATAGGGAAAACTGGCAAAGGTACTAGTGGTTTAATAATAAAAAAGTTAAAAAAAAAACAAATTTAAATATTAAAAAAAAGCACCACCAGGTTGAGAGCGAACCACCAGGAGGCCTGGGTACGGGGCTCGCCACACAGCCTCTCGAACCATCGGGCAGTGGAAAATTTTTGAAAGGTGTCAGTTAACGCGGCCTCAGAAGGCTTTTCGAACTTGCATGGTCCTCCCGCCTGTGGTGGCCCTGTTCTCGAAAGCTAAGCGGAGGTCTTGTGAAAGTGGGCGTTCTTGAGGCCATCTGTCAGGGTCGCTACCCTGACGACCAGTGCTGTTCACGTGGTAGACGTTTTCGAAAGGCTGTGTGTGGAATAAATTTTCAAAGTCTGTGTGGCGAAGGGGGGTTTTCTTTCGAAACTTCTCCTTTCGAATTCCCTCAGACAAATTTTGGAAAATGCCTCAGTTCGAAAGGCTCTGTGGCGAGCCCCTATCTCTTTCTGTCTGGATACAATAAACTACCGAATGTATACACTATATTTACTATTTAGTATATCTAACAACTCCCATAAAACTTTTCGGCTGCGGACGCGACTCTCGCGTCTGCGATGGTCCACGTTAGTGTTTTCCCATGGAGACGTCCTATGTAAAAATTCTGACGGGCGTCGCGAAGCGTGAGACATCCGATGTAAACTTTTCGGCCGCGGACGCGACTCCCGCGTCTGCGATGGTCCACATTAGTGTTTTCCCGTGGAGACGTCTGATGTAAAAATTCTGACGCGCGTCGCAAAGCGTGAGACATCCGATGTAAACTTTTCGGCCGCGGACGCGACTCTCGAGTCTGCGATGGTCCACGTTAGTGTTTTCCCATGGAGACGTCCGATGTAAAAGTTCTGACGCGCGAGTGACTAAGTCGCGAAGCGTGAGACGTCCGATGTAAAATTCTGACGCGCCTGACACGTTTGTTTTGTTTCGGGCGAGCGTTTCGTTTTGTTTTTCGAGTTTTGCTTTCTTTTATCGGTACTTTTGGAAAAGAGGTCGGGCGTTCGAATCCTTTAAAGTAGCCTGTAGTGGCCATCGACTGGGGGTTTCCGAGTTGCACTGATTTTTGTTTATTGTTTTTAGTTTTCTTTTCTTTTGTCTGACGCGCCTGACGCGGCGGGCCTGACGCGTTTGT